GCACCCTCAGAAATTAGCACAAGTGTTCTGTTGATCAGTGCATGTAATTGTTTTAGTGACGGTGAGTAAGAGAGGTTAATGAAATACATTACTGACAATCTGTCTCTTTTACTTCAACTTTATATTGCGTACAAAAGGAAAGTTAATGATATAACATGTCGAAGTCAATATAACAGCTAAATGCTGTTAATATCACTTTTCCACAAACTCCTGCTCTTTAGAAAAGATGAAATCAAGAGCATCTTGATAAGTCTAATCGTGCACAGTTTATCCTCAAATGTGTATTTGAATCAGCTGTCTGCTAGTAGGTTTCTTATGTGGCAACTTGTTAGTAACTTTAACGCACACAACTGTTTCAAAAATTCATGTTTGAGGTATGTAACTGACTGCACAAGTTTTTCAAGTAATGTTAATCACAGACTCTGTTTTACTCAAAGAACGCTATTGTAAAAACCCATTGGAAAATTTCACAGACATGGCTCAAAGAACTACAAACTAAAACTGGTACTGAGTAAAATGATGATAAAATGTCATTCATATCAGTTTGAGGCCAAAATTACATTTATATTATCAATGAATTTCCTTTTTTTTTTTTTTACTTTTCAATTTATTTATTGTATCCTGATGTTTGAGAAATGTCAGTCAAGTGACAACTTGATTATTATTTTTTATTTATTTGTTAATTATTATATATATTTTTATTATATTATCAATTGACTGACATGAGATATGTCAGTCAATTGACAACTCAAATTATTTTTATTAATTTTTTATTTGTTTATTTTTATTTTATACAATTTATAATCTTAATGTATCAACTTAAATGACATCTCAGAATTAAACAATTTTTGAAAAGCAATAAAAATATCTGAAATATCTGATAAAATATCAAACGTTAATTCATTCATTTATTCATTCATTCATTCATTCATTTAAAAGTGTAACTTGATGTTTAATAATTTCATTCATTCATTTAAATTTATAATTTTTAATTGTATTTTTAAATGGTTAGCATTTCATTTTTGATATTTCAGAATTAAATCATATTTAAAAGTTAAAATATCTGAGCACACATAAAACTGGCTTGATATTGGCGAAAAAAAAAGCCTTCTGCAATGCCATACAATTCACACACATTTGCACAGAATATCAGTTTACGAATAGTAGCAAAGTGAGGGTTTAATTTGTGAATATTAATCAAATAATGTGACTTAAATGGTCTAAGAATATTACCTACCAACATCAATACTTGCTAATTAATATTCATGAGTTCACAATATCACTCACAATTCCGGTGCCCCTGAATAAAACATACACAAGATAAAATGAGCAAAAGATCCAGAGTCACGGCTGAAGAAAATCAGCACGCAACCAGCTGACATGATAAAATCATCGATCACGGTAATGGCTCTATTTCTGCTGAACCAAACGCACTGGTGCATGTGTGTAAGTACAGCAGAGAGTTGAATTGCGCTCGTGGGCATATCCCCTTAGAGCAAACGGCTAAACACCGGTTTAAATCACAATGATTACCATATTTGCTGCGGGAGTGAATGTAAATGCCAGGTCCTGGCCAGTATGTTTGAAACGAGACAGCTGTCATGAGCTGAGGAGCTATACTGCTGTGTTAAATAGAGAGTAAGTGAGCGGCAGTGCATGTGTGCTGAATAGACACAGCAGGCTGGCTGTGGTGCAGAGGACATACAGGTTTAACCTGAGGCGATCGGTCAACAAGCCACTTGGATAAGACGCCACCTCACAGCGCCTCCGCTCATTTCCTTCGAGCTTCCCAAAAGGAAACCAGACTATCCTGAGCAGCCAGACCTCATTCAGTTCAATTAGAGTTAAATATTCAATAATGACACAGTGTTAAACTTATACATATGCATCAGGAATAAAGACGCCAATTGCTCTGTTGCATATTAACAACTGATTTAAATTTACTCTCGCAAAACGGCTGAATAGAGGCGCACTGGGGAAACAGGCTCCAGCGTTCATTTGTCAAGCTTGAAATACAATGAAGTGACTACAATGCATTTATTCAGGCAATTAATCAGTGGCGCTAGGAGTACTGCTACTGTACAATATGCAAAATGCTCAAGGGAGAGCAGACTTGACAGAGGAAAATCGGCTGAGCAAGGTGGACTCTGGGTAGACTGAGACCATAAAGACTGAACAATAGAGCTGCTCTTCCTCAAGCACCTCTGTCATTTGACCAATGAGAGAAGAGATGTATTGTTTAGTCCATCTGGGCTTCAGAATCCCATTGATATAAGAAACTACAAGAGGCCAGTATCTATATTTTCTTCAGATTAAAGGTCGCTACCAAAAGTGCCAATATCACGTTTTTACATATGGAATAAAAAACAAAAATAAAAAAGGTAAATGTGACTTTTTATCTCACAGTTCTGACTTTTTGTGACATATAAATTCAGAATTCTGAGATGCAAACTCGTTGCAAGTTTACAGCTCACAATTCTGTGTTTATATCCTGCAATTCTGCTAGAGAATAAAAAAAGGTGATTGCGACTTTTTAACTCACAATTCTGACTTTATCTTGCAATTGCAATCTCAATTCTCGAGAACTGTCAGAATTGTGAAATAATAAAGTGACAATTACCTATTTTTTTTTATCCCATGGCAGAAACAGCTTCCACAGGAGGCAGTATGTTTAATGTACAGTATATTAAATTAAATAACTTTTCTTTGAAATAAATTTGTACCACGCAAAGTGACCGTTTCTCCAAAGCTGCTGATGCAGTGTAGAAGCACAAATAAGCAACTCAATTCATATTTACTTGTAAATTACGTATCATTACTAAAGCATTGGATTACCATAATTCAACATTCAGCATGTTTCTGTTTACCATGATAGTAGCAGGCGTATAGAACTGACATTTATCATGATATCCTATGCAAATAAATTTGAAACCTATACATGGTTTCATGTGTTTCTTTAACACTTTTCCATGTGGGGATAAAAAAAGCTGTTTTCTTTCCTTTAATAAATTATTTCTTTAGTTTTTATTAGAATTTTTAGTTTATAATTAGAGTCACTTTTTAAGCCTTTCAGTTTTATATATTGATTAATATAAAACATTGTAAGCAAATATTAAAAAGAATGTAGCAATTCTCAGCCTTAGTATTTAAATTAGTTGGATACTGATTTCAGTGACTTCCATTCAGGCAGCTCACAGGGAGCCTGAGACTAAATCCAGTGCAGACTAGTCCATCAGAAGTTTGTCTATCAACAAGCAGGTCTACATAGTTAAATCCCATCTAAAAACCTGCTTTCCTCATCTCTCTTGTGGACTACAGCCTGACAGAACAACAACAACGTTAAACAGAGGACAAGCATTAGGAGACATCATCTGGACCTGTCAGCCAGTTTTCAAACTCACTATCCCAACATCAACCACTCCTTTATTTCGTTGTGTCTATCACTTCGTGACCTCTTTCTTTTTTCTATTATGAAGATTTCTAAGAAAATTAAACTAGTCTGAGACATTCACTTTTCATTAAAGTATATCTGACCTGCCCAACCTTCCAAAGGGGTCTCTTTCAGCAAACTCTGCAGATCTGAATCTGCTTTTCATTATTGTGAAGGGACCTGAAGGAAACTGAAGTCATGATAAATTATGATACCAAACTTCATTCTGGATCAATAGACGCTAACCTTTATCCCCAAAAAAACTGTTCAATCTAGAGTCTCCCACACAGAGAACTGCTCCATCTGATTTTAATATATCTGCAAAAATGTCAACAATTCTGTGTTTTTCTGTCAATATGGGGTGCTGTGTGTACATTAATGAGGAAAAAAAATTAACTTAAATGATTTTAGCAAATGGCTACAATATAACAAAGAGTGAAAAATTTAAGGGGGTCTGAATACTTTCCGTACCCACTGTATACTTAATAAACATACACGGTACACACACATATATTATGTAGACAAAAACGTTTATTTTGGATGAGATTAATCGCGATTAATCTATATATACTGTATATGCGTGTGTGTGTGTGTGTGTGTGTAAACATATATATTAATATATTGTGATTGGAAAATTAAAAGGAGCTGACAGTAATAGAGGGGGAAATTATTTTTACTACATGTGGTAATAAAAATAAAATGAATAAAAATTACAGCTAAAGAAATGTTCAGTGCAGAAGGGCTTGCCAAAATAATAAAATACAAGCATTTTAATTTGCCTTTACTATGTATTATAAAGACATTTTTAGTTGGCATCAGCTATTTGAATTTAGAAGTCATTTTTACATACTTGCATATACAGTAGGAGACACAAATTACACCCGTTTTGTACAAAGGCCCATGAAATATAACCGCCCTGCCCATGCCCATATAATGATTGCATACTATACATCTACTATAGTGCTGCCACATTTATCCTGCCATTAAAAGGCTTTTAATGCTTCACAACACTGTGCTCTTAAACACTAGCGGAGGTGTTGCAGACACGTGATGGGTCACTCTGCGGGTTTATTTTTCCCATTGCTGATGCATCATTCCTACAGAAAGCTCTATTCTGTGAGATCAATGAAGGATAAAAGCAGTACTTTTTAGGTCATTTCCTTCTCAGGTCTCTGGACTTCTTGCTCATTGCACCATATTGCCAGAATCATTCATATTATCCCCTCGCCTGTGATCTCACCGGTCTTCCTGAAAGTTGTTGTGTAAGGAGAGAAGAAGAACTCTAAATATGAATAAACCATATTAAACCAAAACCTCATAAAAACTCAAAAGGGAACAACATTTATGCAGTACTGTCATTTTTACCCCAGATCAAAGTCGTGAATGCTTAAAAACACAAACAACCTACAAGTACTCATATAGACCGCAATGGAACTGGGCCTCGGGTCAAGCTAAATTGGGAGGCTCCCCTCAAAACATCTCATCAGAGAATTTCTCTTTTCAGAGAAACCTTCAGCAAAGTCAGCCGTAGAAGTGACAAAGGGCATAAAAAGACCAAAAAGAAAAGTACACACAAGACTCCGTGCTGTGAGGCAAGTGAAGGAATTCTATTACGGAGGAAAGGATTGGCTGGAGAGCAATGGTAGGGCTCATCTTTGTGATGCCGGTTCCCTGTGAGCAGGTCAGAACAAAAGGCATCTCAAAAGTTGTCTGGTCTGTTTGCTCTTTTCCCCAGGAGGTCAGTCTTTTTGAGGAGACCCCATGATGTTGAAGCTGTTAAACAGCCAGTGTTTGGCTCTTTTAAAGGCCTCAAAAGAGTCCATCGGGAAAGACTTCAAATAAATGTTCAAACATGTCAATGCTTGGATGGTTATTTACAGGGTTATAAGATGTTCGATGTAATAGGAGAGGGAAAGTAAATTGTCTGCTGCAGCTATTACAGGACAGCGGTTACTCCTGGGTAATTATGTTTGAAACTTGTTAAGGGAACAAGATATGCAGGTCTTCATTCAGGTCCATTTGGCTTCTAAACTAGGCTCATTAATAAGATTTGATAGTTCTGGCTTTTATAGAAGTAAAACATCTAAAGCGGCATTCACACTGACAATAATTCACAACAACAAAATCACCTAAAGTCATTCATTTTTAATTATTTTTTAAAATTTAGTTTAAAACTCGTGCCAAGTTGTAAGAAATGTACGCTTAGTATTCATGTTGGTTTTATATGGTTTTGTAAAGTTTATACTTATAATTTAAAGGTTTTTCATGTTTTAACCAAGTAAAAATTAATAACATTTTTCTTATACCGTAAACACATGTGAGCAAAAACATCTTAATTATTATTTCAAAAAAACATTTAAAAACATTTTTCAACGTATTAAATTTTTAAAAATATAATTAATTATTAATTCTTAAATAATTTTCTACATATTTAATTACATTAATGTATTGCATTATTGTATTGTATTACTGTATTATTGCAATATTTTACAACCTGACTTAACACTGCCTTGTTATAAAAAGGTAAAAAAATATAAAATATAAAATAATATTGCTATATTAAATAAATATCCATCTGTCCATTCTCTAAACCACTTCTCCTATGTTTGTTTTCAGGGATGCTGGAGCAAAACATATAAAATATGAAAACTGCTGATATATTAAAATATATTTTAAGACATTTAAGACAGTAATGAGGGTCTTCTCTGACATTCCTTGTTCTTTTTTTTCTTTCATGTTGGTTGCAACACATGGTTTTGGTTTAATGGACAAAAATGGTAAAATAAAATAAAATAAAATAAAATAAAATAAAATAAAATGCTTCATTGCTTCTTCTTCTTCTTTTTTTGGAAATAATAATTTTTTTAATAAGGCTTTTTTTCCATCCCAGAGAATGATCTGCCACCTTATAAAGCACACAGACACAACAATTTCCAATGATTAATCACAGTGAGTATAACCAGCACTTAAGACTCTCTAATCCTTATCAGCCTCATCATATTTATTAGTGAACATAATTTTTAATTTCCAATTCAAAGCCAGTATCAGAGACTCAAAGAACATGTTTGTTTTTCCAGAATTGAAACATTCAATTTAGCACAGACATCAGGCTATACAAATAAGAGCTGTTAATAGTTCCCTATCGATACTTCACTCGTACTGCGTCGCTACACGCTTATGGGGAAAAACTCCTTTTTCTCCCGAGGACTGAAGACTTATTCAATCACGCAGTGTAACTGCACGGCCATTGGTTCGTGCAGTGATTATAAAATGATTCAATGGCTTGGCAGCGGTGCTGTCGCCTATGGCGGTGAAGCCCGCCCGAGCCCGCCAGAATGGGCGGGGCCACCTGGCTATATAAGTGGGCATTTCGCCATAGGATTTCAGATCAATTCTCCTTCAGCGACGACGATCTTCCCTTCGCTGACCTTCAGGACTTGAAGACGCTCGCCATAGAAACGCCTCACTGCAGATAGAAGCTGCCATCTCTTCTGCGCCCTCTCGCCACTCCGCCTGCTCTTCGAGCTGCTCAGCGACCAGCGCAGACGCCAGCTCGTCCCCTGCTGCCATCCAGCAAGCCTAAAAAAAGCAAATTTCTCTCTAAAAGAGCACCGACGTTGTTTCAAATGCCGCGCCATTATTGCACGCCGTGCAGTATTGCACTGCACGATGGTGCTGGCCACTCAGAGTACGTTTCCTGCTTAGGTAAGCCCCACGCGGAAGCTGCTCTGACCGAGATGGATTGTTCACATTGTGTGAACATGAGTCTCGCCACTCTGCGCGCTCGGATCGCTTTCTTTTTAGAGA